TCTATTCCTTGTTCATTTCTTGAGGTAAGGGTTGCAGCTCAAATACTTACAAGCAGCCAACCTTTAATTGTCTGGCAGAAGTTGAGGTAAATTAATTTTGGCGCCTTTAAATTTATACTCCCGTGGTTCCCGCCGCTAGATGGGTAGTGCCGCGATCAACCAATCAGGGAGCCATCCCTGTGCGCGAGCTTCCCACTGAACAATGCTGCCCTGCCCTGCCTCTGCAAACCCACGCCCAATACTTACCCACAAACCTCCGCTCCATCAAACCCCATGAGGCTGATCCTTATTTGTCCGCACGCCCGACTGTGGCGGTCACCACTTGAGAGGCTGGGGTGTTCACCGTCAGAGACGTCCTTCTCCCCTAGTGTGGGTAGCGCTTCAGTATTCCCAAGTCGATCACCAAGCAGACCACAAATCCAATATAGCTGTACAGCTCTTATAAGAGCTAGTGGTTATAGCAGTGATAGCTGTTCCCTACAATCACGAGACAAGGCTGCGTGTTTAGGGTGAAGTGAACTGACTTTAATGGGGCCACACGTGGCCTTTTATGACAATCCCCATGCAAGGGGTACTCCCACATGGACCTTGTGGGGATTATGACAACAGTGTTTAAATGCATGACACTCCCATATACAAACATACAATCCTTCCCCTCTGCCTGGGAGATAATTGAGTCAGATACTGTATTAACTCAATTATCTCCAGGCAAAAAAAAAAGTGCCCCTAAAACTCATGGAACCTCTATTAAAGTTATATCCCCTGATAGCCCCAAGTTATATCCCCTGATAACAACTTATCCAAAAATCACCCAGATTGGTTCAGTGGTTCAGGATTTCCATGGAGGTCTTATTTTAACCGACCGCACACAGAATTACTGTCCGAAAAGAGTTCCAGGAAATCAGGCTGTGTGGTCGGTCTATTCAGGAGTAGGCTCAGTTTATGTCTCTCGTTCGGGAGTTTATTCCCACTGAACGCCATTTGATTCCCATTCGAATAGCTGAATATCAGTGGAAGGTATGTGTTTAGCGGTGTTCGAATACCAGCCGACCGCTTCGAACCGCTTCGGAAGTTCGAAGTGCACTTCAAACTGCTTTGGGAGTTCGAAGTGCCACTTCACAAACAGTGTCTTTAACCACAGTTTATTACAGGGGCCATAGTCACAGGGCAAGAGGCTGGCGAGCAGGCCCCTCCAGTGGCGAGGTTCTGTTCGCCACACCGACATTAGCAACAGGTGAGCAGGGAGTGCCTCAGGCCCCCTTAAGTTTGAACAAACCTCAAATAGTTTGATCCAGAACTGAAAGGCAACACCTGCAGTTTATTAACATTATGTAGTGGTTTTGGTTCTTTGACTGCCCTTTTAAAAGGGCACTCCAAGTTCTATAACCACTAATATTTATTTTAGGTGTTCGGGTGCAAGTAGAGTAGGGGTACCGTTTTTCTTGCGTTTTTTTGTCAACTCATATTCAAGAGATTTGACAGAAACTGAGGGAATTCCATGTCCTCATTACTAATATAGGTGGTAGGACAGTGAACAGCGACCAGTGGTTTACTTTTGATAAAAGTTAATTTTATGGCACAGAAGGGGAACAGCTAAATCTTACAATACCACCGCCCTCATAATATCAAACAGTGTGACCTGCAGTGTAATTACATGATTTTGCTATACCATGACAAAAAGTCATGATTTTATGTCAAGTCACAGAGGCTCATATTGCTTAACCCTTTCTTTACTGTGCACCAATAGCAGCAAAGAACACAAATAGAAAAAAATATAACAAATACATTGAGACACCAGCCAATCCCCATCCAAGTCCCAATACAACAATGCAAGAACTGCCTATAAAGCTTCCTCTTACTTTGGAGATGTGACACATCACAAGAAGAGACAGAAAACAGGAACCAACAGACAATCCGAACATTCAGAAAACATGGTAACGAAATCCAGTGAATGGCAGTGCATGGAACTTCTCAAACAGAAACAAACTTCAAGGCGGTAACGGAAACCAGCCATCTTAAGCGAAACACACCAGGAAGAAGTGAGGACCATCGAGCAACACCGAATCAAGCTGTAAAAACACAAAGAACAGGAGCCCAACGGTTAAATCGATACTAAATCCAAATTGCAAATGCCAATACACATGAAACCCCACAGATAGCAGGTCGTATTACAAACAGAGCAAAACCCACATTACAAGAACATGAAAAATTGAACCAGGCCACACGTGAACATAAAACCACTAAATAAATACAGTGCATACAACAGAATACCTACTGCACCCAGGAATCCCTATATTAGAGAAAAAATCAACAGGGGGAGAAACAAGTTAAACAAACTTAGAAGGGTGGTACTCGCCTCCGTGTCTTTCAGAAAATCATGACTTTTCGTCATGAAATAACAAAATCGGAGTCGGGCTTCATCCTCCTACCAACGTCCTCCTGTAGTCACACCGTTGCAGTGTGCACCCCAACCATGGAGACTTTCGTCCAAGTCCACTGTGAACTCCAGTTAGGAACCAAAGATGGCCTTGCCATTCCAAGCAGAGAGGTTGTGGATCCATCAAGTCACTTTGTCTCGCATCTGGGTGTCCAGAGAGACCATGTCCGTGTAGGAGGCGCCGTTGCAGAGGTGTGCGATATTTAGTTGCTGGAGGGCATGGTAATGAAGAGGAGCCGGGACCACAGCTTGGATTGAGAATGCTAGCAGGCCAATGATCTGAGGGGGCGCCAGTGTTTGGCACAACTGCTTGCGGATGGTCAGAATCTTGGATGTTGGAAGGCCCAGTTCTGGAGTCTACAGTGAAACCGAGGCACTCCATGCATCTCGAAGGCGTGAGGCAGGACTTCTCCCAATTGAGGAGGAAACCCAGGCAAGAGAGGAGGTCTATCATCCATTGCAGGTGCTGTATGAGGATGGAATGATCCTGTGCCATGATCAGGATATCGTCCAAGTAGACAATCAGACAGCATAACCATGCCATGGCCGGGCGCATCAGTTTTGTGAGGCACCTAGGAGCCAAAGATAACCCAAAAGGAAGACATGTAAAGTGCCAGTGTCGCCCTTCCAGAGAAAATGCAAAAATTCTCTGGACGTCTTGGCCACTGAGACTGTCAAGTACGCGTCCCTCGGGTCCAGTTTCGCTATCCAGCCGTCGCGAAGGAGTAGGTCCTGCAGAAGGTGGCCCTCCAACTTGAAGTGGCGGTAGCACACCAAGGCATTGAGGGCACGTAGATTAATAATGGTGAACATCTGCCCACCTTTCTTTTCCACCAGGAAAATGTTGCTGAGGACCCTGGCAGGGGAAGTGGGTGCTAGTTCGATCGCCCTCGTGTAGGGCAGACAATTCTACATCTATCAAATCTTAATCTCATAGAGAGAATGAGATTGAGCGAGGTGGAGGGATGTGACAATGCGTGTCGACCAACTCTATGTGGAAACCTCGAACAGTGTCCAGAACCCAAGCATCTGAGGTGATGGCTGACCAAGCTGGGAAAAAATGACGGAGTCTGCCCCCTACACAAACCTGAGAAGAAACATGAGGTAGATGTAAGCTTATCGTAAGGGCGTCTGGAGCCAGAGTTCGCTCTGAAGCTTCTGGACCACCATAGTCTTCCGCATGAAGGGAAGGGGGGACGGGAAGGGGGACCGGCCTCTCATTACCTGATAGGGGGCAGATGTTCCCCATTATTAATCTACGTCCCCTCAATGCCTTGGTGCCCTACCGCCACTTCAAGATGGGGGGCCACCTTCTGCGGGACCTACTCCTTTGCGACGGCTGAGTATAGGAGCCTCGTCCTGAGCCACAGGAGTTATAGTATTTAGTAGTTGTAGATGACCCCTGAATCTGCTGGCCCTGAGCTCACCAGGGCCCAGACCAGCAGACAGGGTAGACACGAGGCAAAGACAGAGCTAGAAAGACAGGTAAGATCAGAAAATGGTCACCGCCAATCTCGCGAGACTCGCTGCAAAAAATCCCGCGAACGTGTCCAATTCACGAACCAAAACTCGAGGAGCAGGATGAATTTGTGGGAACAAACTAATGAACGACCAGTTCGTGGCAGAAACTACCGAACATATAAAATTTGAGGCAAAACAGTTAACAGTTAAGAAACGTTTGCGGCCAAATTGCAGAATGGTACAATTCATGATCAAACACACAAATTTGTGGCAAATTTAGCCAAAAGGCCCAACTCTGTCATGAAATAACAGAACAGTGGTGTGAAAACGAGCGCAAAAGTGCGCCAAACAGCCAGGAAGAAGGGGGAAGAGATCCAAAACATAAAAATAAGGGAAAATTTTGAAAATACCCCAAGGGACCCCCCGAAGGATAGGAACAACAAGGCAAAGCTCAGAAGTGAGGGGAATATCACATACAAGAATCCCCCCCAAGGAAGGTCTGGAACCCTGGGCTCCAAGGTAAATAAAATTAATCAAAAAATATATAAAACAATATTAATAAAGTAGAATAACAAGATTAAGCAAATAAGAAGTAACCAAAGTAGATAAAGGCAATGAAAAACAGATACTGCTAAGAGTAAAATTATTAGTACTTATTCTGACTATGGAGCAGCAAAGAAAGAGGAAGCTTTAGAGGAAGTGCTTGCTGTTATACTGGGACTTGGATGGGGATTGTCTGGTGTCTCACTGTATTTGTTATATTTTTTTCTATTTGTGTTCTTTGCTGCTATTGGTGTGCAGTAAAGAAAGGGTTAAGCAATGTCAGGGTATTTATATCGGCAGACATCTTGTGCTATGATAGAAATTAAAAGTGTATATGCTGAGTCACTTTTGAACAGAGCAGACTCCATTTTGTTATTTTCAAGCTAATGGTGGACTCCTTACCCTCCATGGGGACGCCCCACCCGTCCCACCAGGATCTACGCTCAGACCCTCTGGCGCACGGGACTTTGACTCAGGTGGCTCCCTATGCTATACGGATATAGGCTTGATGCGCAAAAGGTCTTGGAAGGGCCACTGCACCCCCACCGACAAAGGAAAGATGCCTGCCAAACTGGTCAGACTGGGCCCCGGATCAGACGGCCACCCGGATGAGGATGCATTCTCTGGAGAACCAGGCTATGACATTCTGGACGAATACCAGGCTGGCAGCTCAGGCGCCACGTCACCCGGTGAAGGTGTCCCTGACCATAGTTCCCAGTATGTGCAGGAGACAGTGTTGGACTCTCCTCTGAACGGCTCGCAAAAAGTCTCTGCTGCTCATGCTGGCGACCCCGGTGAGATGTTAGACCCCCTCGGGTCTTCCGCTCTTTGACCCATGCCTTCTCAAGCATCCTCGCTCTGCGGAATGGGCGCCTCCAGACCACATTGTGGAGTTTCTTCGCTACTGGCTTCGCAGCCCCTTGGATAAAGATGTCAGGGCGAAGCTTCTGGCCGAGTGTCCATGCCTGACACTGCCGGACAAGGTGGCCCTTACCCTGGACTTTGACCCGGTGTTTGCTACCTTCATGACGATGTCTGGGAAGGATCCTCGCAAGGGCCTTGAACAGTGTCTGCGCTCCGCCCAGGATAAACTCTTCGATATCAGCAGCCCGTTGACCCAGATCTTCCTTATAGCAGATCTTCGGTTGACGTTTAACTCCTCCGGGAGTGGGCCCAAAGAGCTGTCTGTCTCCTGGGCAATGCCAATGTGGCCTTCAACTCGGAATGCCGCAAGGAGGTATTTTACAAACTTGATGGCAAATTAGCTGATTTAGCCTCTAAGGAGCTGGGCCCGGATGCCATCTACAGGTCCCTCAACAAGGCACAACAATCCCTACGAAAGGTCTTCCGTTCCGGGGACCGTTTTTTCTCCAGGGCTGGTCGGCACATAGGCCGCGCCACCAGCAGAGCTGCCTTCATGGGCAACAGTCCCCGCATCTCGGAGTTCTTCTCCTCCTCCTCATTCCAGTACCAGTACGTCTATTGTTCTTCCAAGGATCTTCCAGAGGCCGAGGTGCTTCATCCACACGGGCCATTTGTTCTCAGGTAACAGTTTTGCCTTATTTACCACACTTACCCATTGCGGGTAAGTGTGGTAAATAAGGCAAAACTGTTACCTGAGAACAAATGGTTCTAGATCTGAAGGACGCTTACCTCACGGTTCCGATCCATCAAGAGGACAGGTGTTTCCTCCAGGTCCTCTGGCGGAAACACGTCTAGCAGTTCACATGCCTTCCGTTCGGCCTCAGCTCGGCCCCATGGTGCTTCATCAAATGGTTGAAGCCGGTCATGGTGACTCTGAGAGCCAGGGGGATCAGATCAATCGTCTATCTGGACGATATTCTGTTGATGGCGCAAGATCCCAACGTTCTGCATTAGCAGATGGCGTTCACAATGCGCCTGCTCCAGGACCTAGGTTTAGTCATCGACGTAGAAAAGTCAGACCTGACCCCCTCTCGGTCGTTCCAGTTTCTTGGTTTTGTGGTGGATTCGGTTCAGTCGCTGCTTCGCCTTTCAGTATCCAAGGTGGCCACCATCAGAAAGGACATCAGGAGCCTACTCCGCAATCCAAGGGCCATGTTACAGGATCTGGCCAGGACAAAAGGTCTACTTTCTTCAATTCAAGCCATTTTCCTGGGACCCCTACACTACCGGGATGTCCAAAGTATGAAGGCTCGCTACCTTAGTTCGTCCGCCTCTTACGACCAAGTTGTGTTGCTCTCAGACGAAGCCCATCTGGAACTCCATTGGTGGCTTCGACACATGGAGGCTTGAAACGGCAGGGCGATATCTGGATCCAAGCCAGACTTAGTCCTGGAATCAGACGCAAGCTGCCTAGGCTGGGGCGCTACTTGTAATGACGTGGCGACAGGAGGATTCTGGACCCCAGAGGAAAATGCTCTTCACATCAACTGTCTGGAGCTGATTGCAGGGTCATTTGCCATTCTCAGCTTCACCAAAGGAAAGAGTCGCTGCTCATTGCTTCTTCGCATGGACAATGTCTCAGCTGTCCGCTACATAAACAGGCTGGGAGGTTCCCATTCCAAACTTCTGTCGGATCTCACGAAGGACCTCTACCAATACTGTCTGGACAGGAAGTTGTCGATCGTAGCAGAATATCTCCCGGGACAAGACAATCTCGTGGCAGACTGGTTTTCTCGACACTGGAGAGATTCCAGCAACTGGCAACTTCACCCTTTAGTGTTTCAAATGCTGAACCTCCTGCGAGGTCCCCTCCATCTGGATCTATTTGCGTCCAGGGCGAATTGTCAGACGGAATTGTTCTGCAGCTTACTTCCGGACCCCCTCAGCGTGGCAGTGGACACGTTCCTTCAAATATGGCTTACATTGGGGGCATATGTGTCCTGTCCCCCCGTCTCCATGATCCTCCGGAGGTTACATCAGATCAAGCTTCTGAGGGTGTCGATCGTCCTGATCACGCCACTGTGGAGGAATCAACCGTGGTTCCCTCTACTGTTGGAGTTATCGTGCAAAGACCTGCTACTACTACCTGTCTCCAAGTTTATCCTGTGGGATTCAGCAGGGAATCCACATATGTTGATATTGGAAGATCGTCTGTCCCTGGTAGCCTGGACCATTTCCGGGGTTCATGGGATGTGTCGGGACTATCGACTACGGCTAGGGAGTTACTCTTGGGCGCCTGGCACCAGAAGATCATATCTGCATGCCTGGCGATCCTCGCATGGCTGCTGTCTGGAGAGACATTTGGATCCCTTTACGGCCCCTATCATGGGTGTCCTGAACTTCTTGGCTGAATTGTTTTCTATGGGTAAGTCATATAGGACTATCAATGTTTTCTGATTGGCTATATAGGCGGCTTATGTACCTTCTCAGGGTTCCGGTGTTGGTAGGGATCCCTCGGTCTGCAGAATGCTGCGAGGTGTGCGCCTTTCGAGACCCACTGCTTCTTGCTATTCCTCATTTTTGATGTCTAGCTTGTCTTAAGTTTCCTTGAGGAAGGGCCTGATAATGGGGACTTGATTCTCTGCACCAGCTTTCCGCTAAACTGGCTCTGCTGTTATGTCTATATCGTTTTGTTGCGTTTCAGATGTCTATGCCTTTGATATAGAATCTTTTTCTTTTTCACCAGATGGTGTGTCTGTTTCTATCTCACGCAAGACGAAACCTAATTCGTCTTCTGTGTTGTATCCCTACTTTCCAGATAGACCACGTCTCTGTGTGGCACGTTGTCTACGGACGTATATCTCAGTCTTCTGCTCATGGACAGCTATTGATTTCCTACGTTCGACCCTTTGGGGCTGTCTCTGCACCTACGATCACTCGTTGGATTCGATGGATTCTGTCATCGGCTGGCATGGCGAGCTCCATTGGGGCGCATTCAGTTCAGGGCGCTGCAGCTTCAGCAGCGCTAAAAGCCGGTAGGTTCCTTACGGATATTCTCTGCGCCACTGATTGGTGTAGGGAATCGACTTTCCGTACCTTTTATTTCCGTCCGCGATCTCATGTTTCTTCTGTCTTTATGTCTGGGCGTTAAAATTGCAAATATGAAGCCTCCTGTCTTGCCATAAAATTAGGGATTATTCTAGCCTCGGTGAGGGAATAATCTAAATTTTATTAGACAGGAGGTGAATATTTCCCCCCTTTACTGTTTCCCACCCTGGAATTGGTTTGTTTTTTGCTATTGTGTTAATCAGGCTATTGTATTCTTGGTCATGTATGGTCTCATATTTTATTAATAAACACATTTTCGTTACTGCGGTTTTTGTTGTCCGTGTGCATTTATTTATCTTATCGTATTCCACTGATGTGCTGATTGTGTATGGTGTGACATTCTGCTTTGGCAGTTAACTTTCACAATGTTTCTTTTTCCTTACAGTTTAATCTAAAGTTGTTCTGGATATGGCGGTTTCTCATCTGAGTGTGCCGGATACAGTTGGTTTCCTTTGGTCTTCATACTCTCCTGCTCAATCTCCTCAAAGAAAGAGGAAGCGGGAGTGGTTTTATGCTGCTGTTATTTTGTTCTGATTGGTTGTTTTGAAAAGTTCTGTTAACTATTTCTTTGCTGCTGGAGCTTTCAGTAAAGAAGGTAAAGCAAATATTCGCCTCCTCTCTTTAATAAAATTTAGATTATTCCCTCACCGAGGCTAGAATAATCCCTAATAGTGATGTACCGAACGGTTCGCTGGCGAACGGTTCCTGGCGAACATAGCATGTTCTCGTTCGCCACGGCGGGCTAACATATGCGCGGTTCGACCCGCCCCCTATTCGTCATCATTGAGTAAACTTTGACCCTGTACCTCACAGTCAGCAGACACATTCCAGCCAATTAGCAGCACACCCTCCCTAGCAGACCCTCCCACCTCGTGGAAGGCATCCATTTTAGATTCATTCTCAAGCTGCATGCTTAGTAAGAGGAGGGAAAGTGTAGCTGCTGTTCATTAGATAGGGAAAAGCATAGCTAGGTTAGGGTTAGGGTATGCTTTTTTTTTATTTTTTTTTATATGCAATGTAATTGCACTTAGTTGTCTGCCACTGCTGCCAGCTTCTGTGTCAGGCTCACAGTGCATACTGTGCCCATTTCCCCAGTCAGTGCCACCACTTATATCTGGTGTCACAATAGCTTGGATTTAAAACAAAAAACTTTTTTCACTGTTATAGATTGAATAGCAGTCAGTTGTCTGCCACTGCTGTCAGCTTCTGTGTCAGGCTCACAGTGGATACTGTGCCCATTTCCCAGTCAGTGCCACCAC